ATATATATATATATATATATATATATATATATATATATATAAATATACAATTACGAAATTATCTTAAAAAAAGTACAATTTGACAAAGATATATTAATAGTTAAAAAATAACTTATAATAATAAATATTTAATAGCTTTTTTGCTGCGATTATTTTTATCTTCATATTATAGTTAGAATTTATCATACTAGTCTAGAGAACCGGCATACTTTTTTTGCGTCTAAAGTACTAAATTTGCATCGAAGTAAACGTATGCGGCATGAATATCAAAAGTAATTTACATGTATATGAATATTAACATTAAGTATTGTCGAATTAATTTTGCATTAGAATAAGTGTTATACAGGGTGTCCATTAAGTCGCGGACCGGTCTAATATCTTTTGAAAAAATAAACATTTCGAAAATCGCCGAAACACGTCAAACGAGTTTTCAAAAAATCTATCTTTTGCGGGGGGTTGCAACCCCCCAACCCCAAGGGGGTGCGGGGGGGCGCGAGGGGGGAATAAATTCTTAAATGGGAAGGGGGGTCGAGTGGGGGCTCGTTTGAAAGGTCTTTTCGAGACGAATTCAAAACACTATGAATAGAGGGCGCTGCGGTCATTTTTCGCAAAAATATTTGAATTTTAAGATTTTTAATACGGCATTTGCGTTACCCAATGTACACCACGTGGAGGTTGCTCGGTTGGATTTAATACATCGTACAGCCCTGAAAAGGACTGATTTTATGTAAAACGATCATTTATTCTCTTCGGGGTGCTTGATTATAGTTTTTTTTTAACTGAATAAAGTTAAAGTTAATGGCTTTACAAAATTAATAATGTTAAGTTAAAAGTTGAAGGAATAAAAATTAACTTAACGTAAGTTAAGTCAATATTGAATTAACTCAAGTTGAAAAAAAAGTTTATTTCGAAAAAAATTATTTTTTAGATCAAAATGTCCTAATTTTTTTGAAATGAGATTAAATAACTACAATTTAGATTATTAGGTTTACTTTTTAATAAGTCTTAAGCCATAATAAATTGATCAATTATAATGATCGTTGAATAAATGATCGTTTTACATAAAATCAGTCCTTTTCAGGGCTGCACGATGTATTAAATCCAACCGAGCAACCTCCACGTGGTGTGTGTACATTGGGTAACGCAAATGCTGTATTAAAAATCTTAAAATTCAAATATTTTTGCGAAAAATGATCGCAGCGCCCTCTATGCATAGTGTTTTGAATTCGTCTCGAAAAGACCTTTCAAACGAGCCCCCACTCGACCCCCCTTCCCATTTAAGAATTTATTCCCCCCTCGCGCCCCCCGCACCCCCTTGGGGTTGGGGGGTTGCAACCCCTCGCAAAAGATAGATTTTTTGAAAACTCGTTTGACGTGTTTCGGCGATTTTCGAAATTTTTATTTTTTCAAAAGATATTAGACCGGTCCGCGACTTAATGGACACCCCGTATATTGAAACTTTCATCGCACACACGTTTCAAATTATTTAATATTGTTGAAAAGTTACAAAAAATAAAAGAATGATAAAACAAAAATCTTTAAAATATTTCATTACTGTACAGTGTAATTTTACAGATTGTAATTTTCTTCATTGTATATTTTTGTCAGCAATTTATGATTATCATGTGACGCGGCAATTTTTGCACGTGACTGCAAAATCTGTGAAATGTGATCGTACATGTATATCTATCAGGTGATACTTATACAGAGTGACAATTTTTCGATTTTGTAAAGGAACAACGAGGTTTAATGTATGTAATAAATAAAACACAAATTTAAATTCGAATTAACTTAATCAGCTATTAATTCATATAATATAAAATTATTTGAAACAAAATTCCTATAATTAAATTATTCGTTATCTCTAATTTAATCTTTCTTCTATATTAAATAATATATTAAAAAGTAAAAAATATCAATTATTCGGTCTCTATTGAAATAGTATTGCTTTATGTTAATCATTGAATAAATTAATCAGAGTTCAATTAAAGTCTGCATCCTTGACGATCAAAAAGAAAAAATGGAACATAAACTCTTTCGTCTCCAAATTGTGAAAATTGTGAAGAATTGTAAGAATTTATTGCAATAAAAATAATCTTATCTCCAGTGAAGTGAATTATATGGAAAATACGTCTTATCTTCTCATGACCAAGTACCCGTTTGGCCATAAAAATTATCATTTTAGATATGATGACAAAAACGTTCTTCTTAGTTTTTCGTCATGCAGGCGATATTCGATCTCTTACTGCACGTTTGAAACTGCGTTGAGGCAGTTTATTACGTTATTAAATGTTACATATTATGACGTGCGCGAGCATGAATCACGTGTGCGTTATTAGCAAAACGTACCAGAGTAAGAAAATCGAATACAATGAACTGATGTTAAATATTGTGGGAAGTTTAAGACAAGGAGTTACTGCTGATTTATGGAAAGTTACAACGACACTTAATCGATTCTACTCAGCTTACTTTACCTTATGTACTGGATCTCTATGGGAGGGCAAGATGAAGCTCATTTTACATTCTTGTTCTTGCAAATCCAATAGCGCTGTCGCTAATCTCACCGCTTTCCGTCGCGTCATTGGCAGTGTACGGTGATTTCTTATCGGCGGTAATATAAAATCAAAAGAATAAATATATACTGCATAAAGAAACCAATACAAACAATTCCAAGCAAAATGTTTACAACTTAATATTTTTATTTTCGAATTTCACTAAAAAAATTTTTAAACAGATTGTATATACATACCTGCGTGTATGCTAAAAAGTGTAAAACTAAATCCTTCCGAAAAAATATCTATTGTATTTTTTATTTACTTTCTATTTATTTAAAAATTCATACAAATAAATAAATATTATTATATGTATGTTATGTAATTATTAAAAAAAGTTTGCGTAAATGCTCAATACGAGTAACTTGCTTTGTTACATTATCTATTCGTATCCTTTCAATCGAGCGAAATCTGTCATTTAAATTGAATATATTATTTAAATAGCTATGCTCGCGTTTTCTGCGTTCAATCTACCGTCATATTCCGCTAACATATTCTGTTATATTTTTACTAGCATTCTACTGATAAAATTTACAGTAGAGACTGTGCAAAATTTCACAGCGGACACATCAATTTGATGTTCGACAAATAATATCTATAACTATTGACAGAATTATGACAACAGAAATAAATGTGATATAATGATTGATCTTTAAGTATTCCAATACAGATAGTGCAAACCACACTGCGAAAATTTATCTCGAAATCTAGAAGATCTACAATAGTCTTACGACACTAGAACGTTGGATATTTTTGTTGCGGATTGTACTCCGCGGGTTGAGACGACTCCCGTGGGGAGTCTGCTCATTTCTCGGTAAGAAGAAGACTTAAAGGACCTTGCTGTTCGGATTAGATGGTTCTCATCACATACGTGTGTACAACACCTGTGCGTGTGTATGCCGAGCATTAGTGGCGATACCGTAATCATGCAGTTGTTCTTTGGAAAGAATTACAAATTTCGACATAGTTCTCACTTCTTGCTAAGTTGAGCCAAGAATACGACGCAAATCATTATAACCGTCACAAATCTTCCATGCAAATATGTACACAGATCTGATATACTCGGATGATACCAGCCTTGCTGCAAAGTATACGAGAATTGTATTACAGCCCGACATTTAAACGCGTACGAGAGATATTACTTATTCCAGCTCACTATCGGGTAAGTTTAAATAGAAATGAGAGCGCAGAATTCAAGCGCAAGGGCATTTCAGGGTAAACATTATTCAGTTGTACATATCACAATTTATATTATCAATTAATTATTATTGGTAAGCTAGTTTTATTATTTATTTTTAATATTCTTATACATTTACGTTTTAAGAAGAAAAATAATTTCTGCTTGTATTAGAAAAATATATCAATACGAAATTGTTTTCCGACCGAATTTCATGGGTCTAAGATTTGATTTTAAGAAAGGAATATCGGAGGAACAAGGTTACATTCATTGGTATATTCTGACGTTTTCAAGGTAAACGTACATATAGCGACGTATAATGCCATTCTTTGAACGAGCATGACTGTTTGTACTTGGCACGATTGATGAAAAGGTGGAAGACCGAGATCATTTGCCAATATTATCGCATACGTGGGCACATGATTTATGAATAGTTCTGCGATATGTGTTACCGTATAACGAACATATCTATCTATCGGCAAGGATTATGATTTACGATGTTGAACATAACAAACCTGATGCATAGAACACGTATCGATGTCGATATACGAAGTCTTTCAAATAGTCTGATATAAGAGTATTGAATAGTGCTATCTATCGGACAGTTTATATTGAAATAGTTCGGGAAGTCTCGCGAATAGAAGTTCAGTTCAGTTCTATTCTATTCTATTCTATTCATATTTTTCTATAACAGTCCTTTTAACATCATTCTACCGGAATCTAAACGCAGAAGATCGGACAAACGACCGTTCTACCTTTATCCTAACGATGTCAATCCGTTATTTTGATGTAACAGAAGGTATACTAGATATATAGCGGATGTGCTTTTATTCATTGTTAAATGCTCATATATTTCTCAATCTGAAAGAACATTTTTATATATGTTTTAAGTGTTTATATGCAAAACAGAATCAAAATAAAAATTTTTTCAAAATTCTAAAATTTTCTAATTACAAATTTTATTTTAAATAAATTGTTTTCTGTATACGTTTTAAATTGTATAGAGATTTTTTTCAATTAATATTCAAAAGACAAAATTGAAATCTTTACGTGGTCAATAATCTTTTTCGAATTTGCGCTGACAAACAAGTTGATATACATTTTTCTTATTAGGATTAAGAGTGTGAAACTCTTCCATACTGCAATTGTTATTATTTATGGTGTCGCTTAACCAAACAAAATGTTGCTTCTTATTACCATTATTATGAGTAAAATGATATTGTCAGACCACCCGAATAAAAGTTTATCGTGAAACTTCTCGAAGTGTCGTACTCTAAAGTTATGTTTATAAACTACAATAGTATTAAGCACACAAATTCCCTAAAGCGACTGTTTTTAAATTATATGCTTCCATAAATGTAAGTGGTTTTTTATTTAAAAAAAAATTATTTATTGCTTCTCCTGCTGATAATTATATAAGATTACGAAGAATAATTTTGGAATTATTTATAGAAATGCAACATACTTAATAATATTTTGTGCAATTTTATTTAAAAAGTAGTATTTAAATAATGTGTGATTAGAATTATTTTATTTTAAGAAATTACCACTTTATGAAATGTTAGCCAAATCGTGTGATACAGAATATGATATAGAGAATATAAATAGCATTAAACACAATTTTTATTTATATTGTGCAAGGTTTTCTTATACATGTATTACAGCCATTACTATTGCAAAAATTATTTCACTTATACTCATCATGATTGCAATGCTGAACGCGAATCGATCGATAGGAAGAACTGAGATATGTTATTTCAGATCAAATTTACCAATAAATCGATTGTTATCGATTGAATATTGCTTTGCTTAAGTGTACTTTAAACAATTCGTAATCCGTGACAGGATTTTTTGTCATATAATTTTATTAAAAAATTTATTCGACTTCAAACTTTCATGTCATATATAAAAAAATTAATGTTTCTTGCATATCACGATTTTTATGTATTACATTCGGTAGAATAGTATTAAAATATGACATGTATTTTCTTCCCAAATTGTAAATTAAACTATAAATATATGGATCCTGATAATACTGGGAATATAAAAAAAAAGTATTTAAAAAAAAAATTCTTAATGTATAATGACATCAAGATTTAAAAACAATAAATTCTATCCTCAAAATTTTTTATTCGTGTTTTTTAAACTGTCTTATATTATATATTAGATTAATAATGTGTGTAATTGAACTTGAAAAATGAAAACAAAGTGAAACTAATAATACAATACTTTAATGGATCCTCCCAAGGACTTATATGCTCCTTTAGCATGAAATTAATAACATAAAATTTTAATGGATCCTCCCAAGGACTCATATGTTCCTTCAGCGTAATAAAAAGGCATGTTTCTGTGACGGGTTAATAATCGTAAAATTTTAATCAACTATCATAAAATACATCTTATAATATAGAAAATACGTCACACGTATACAGATTGGACTATACGTTCATTAATAGAGGATAAAGAAAGATGTGTGTCTCTTTGGTTTATATTTTCTCAAAATTTATTATTTATGAAGCACATACAAGAAACTAATTTATTTCGATACGTATAACACAAGAAAAAATATAATGCTTGAGATTATAATTTAAGTGCAATAAGAAATCGAAAGGTTTAATACGACGCAAAACTACGCGAGGCGCCAACAAGCAAGTTTCGCGTTACCTGAAATATTAGATAGCGAAATTGTAAACGTTATATCAGATTACCGCTACAAAAATTGCTTAGATTTTTGTTTTTTTTTTACTGCATCATTATTAGATCTACGAGTGTTGCCTGGAAACGCGTCATTTTTTAATTTTTTAAGGAAATACGACTTCAAATAAACAGTGAAGAATGTTAGCGCGCCACTGTGTGTAATTCTAGTGGCTAAATAATTTCCATTTGAATCGATCAATATTCTTACTTAATATTTTCTTGTTTATGTATTAAATAACTTGTTTGTAGAAAACGTGAATATTTAAATACTAATTTAATCGACGAGAAAGCAGACTAATTATTTTAAAAACTAATTATTTATTATATACGTATATATATTTACGTTAACTTGAATTATTTAATTAAAAAAATTAATTGGATCATATCCAAAATGATACAACAAGCATCGCGAAGCTGACACTTTTGAATAACAAAATACAATACAAAAGAGGAAGTTATTGTTAACAAATGATTATGGGGCGGTATAATGATGGAGTTCGATGAGACGTCTTCGTGAAGAGGGGAGCTTCTCGAAACGGTCTAATCGGATCGGACGGAGAAGCCGGGAGGTTGCTATAAACGTTCTCGTCTCGGGGAGGGGCAAACATCGAAAGGGACGAAGAGGGTACACGCTGCTCGAGGGAGTGGGAGAACCGGAGAAACCACGCGCGGCTTTCCGTATCGCGCACCGTCATTCTCGTGCGAGTCTCTTCGCCGATCGCGATCTATCGCGCTTCGTACTTCGGAGTACAATTTGAACAAAAATTCTGTTTATAAATTACATTGAAAAATTCTTAGTCGAGTACTCAAATCATCGATAATTACTGCACCCTCGCACATTCTTTATTAGAATAAAGAAGGGGTGAAACGCGCGTGTTTCTATTTTCTAGAGATTTAAACTCTTTTAGGGATTCCCGACGTTCCCTCCGATATATTACCTTGCCGTTTCCTCCCTCTCCTCTTCTTTGTATTCGCAAAGCAACTTGGTCCCCACCCTTCGTTAACCGGCTGCTCCCACCCGCGGGGCGACTTCCACGCAATATACCGATCTCGTGGCATCCACGGAGGGAAGTTGACGTGAAAAAGAGGACGAAAGATCAGTGCGACACCGCGCTCGTCCGAGAGGTGAACCCTTGCGAGTTGTCGCAACGTTACATAGACGCACCGTGTACGCAAATATATAATCACACGCTATAATTTTCCTCATTCATTCGTGTGAACACGTACACGTGCGTGGATACTTACACGCGGGAATATATATATATATATATATTGAGCGCCAGACTCCCCCCCATTAGTAGCGGGCTCGACGGTGAATTTCGAAGCGGATCCGCGTTTTTGCCGTCAGCGTTCTTACTCATCTCGACGCCGGACGCCGCACGGAGCAGAAGGAATCGTATATACAAAGTATATACAGCTATAAAACACAACACACACACACATATATATATACGTCTGTTGCATATCGAAACTAGACAGTCTTCTGAGACCAGAGCGAGATCGGCGCGCTAATACAAATTCAAGAATGTCACATAATACGAAGAGTCTCGGAGTACCGGTGCACGGCGGACGAATTCAGGTGAGTGAATTTGTAATTTACGTTCTGTCCAAAATCTAATCCGTAGGATATAATCGCTGCGCAGTTAACTAACTTTATGCCAAATAAAAATTTACGCGGTCGCTATCGAAGTATCGAGATATCGCGTATCGCGACGCGCTGGATTTATTGATTTTATAAGCGACGATAGCACAAAAAGGTATATATTTTTAGAGACACTATTCCCTGAAGTTATATTTCTCTTTAAAAGAATCATATATCAAGATTCAATATTTCGTAAATTATTTTAAATGTTATTTACAAAAGCAGTTTATGAAATAAATAATCGTACGAATAGAATTTTTTTTTATATTCACCCTTGAAAATAGATATTGGCAGATCTTAGTAAATATATTATTTAAAACAGTATTTTTTTTTTTTTTTTTTTT